GCCGATGCCTCCGTCGCCTGGCTGGAGTGGCCGCGGGGGAGTCTGGAGTCGGGCGGCCGCTGGTGGGAGCCGCGGGTGCCCGGGCCGAGATTGGGGGGGCAAGGCGGGCGACAGAAGGCCGATGCCTCCGTCGCCCGGCCCTCTACAGAATCCACCCCCCAAACCTCCAGGTATTTCCCTCCTTAGAGCTGGCAACCCTACATTCCCCTCAGTGCCTGTTGGTAGGCAACTAAGCTTGGTCCTGTCACCTACTTTGGCCTTTGGGAGAAAACACATTGGGGCCAGTCCTGATAGGGTTGCCAACTCCAGATGGGAAATTCCTGGAGATTTGAGGGATGGAGCCTGAAGAGGGTGAGGTTTGAGGAGGGGTGGGACCTCAGACAGGTACACTGCCATAGACTCCACCCTCCAAACCAGTCAGTCTCACATAGGGAACCATTGTTGCCAATCTCCAGGTGAGGGCTGGAGAGCACTCAGTATTACAACTGCTCTGCAGAAGGGAGGGCAGAAGTCAGCTGAAGTCAAAGGGGCAGATAATGGTAGGTTGATGGCTAGCTGGGAAGGAGATGGGGTTGCCAACTACATGCTGACAAATTCCTGGGGATTTGAGGGGTGGAGCCTGGAGAGGGTGGGGTTTGCAGAGGGGTGGGACCTCAGACAGGTAGAATGCCATAGACGACACCCTCCAAACCAGCCATTTTGTCCTGGGTAACAATTGCTGCCAATCTCCAGGTGAGGGCTACAGATTACTCACAATTACAACTGCTCTTCAGGTAGCAGAGATCAGTTCCTCTGGAGAAAACAGTGGACTCTGTCATTATACCCTGCTGAGGTCACCACAGCAAATTGACACTGTTTGCTCAAAGCCAGAGCACTGCCCCAGAGCCTCTTTCTAGATCTCGTTGTATTACTTTCACAACGGGCTTTACTGCTAGTAAATAAATAAATAAATAAATAAATAACTACTCTTGTTTACCTTATTTAGAAATACTGTCATTTCCATTTATGCCATACAAAGATTACTGTTGAGTTTTTCCATCTTTCAAAGACTTCTGATGAAGCTTCATTGTTGGGCTTTATATTATTAGTTACATATCGTTAGCAGCATAGTTAAATGTTTCACAGTATGATCCTAAGCAAGAGTCAGAAGAGTCAGAAAGGTATAACTGTGTTTAAGATTGTACTTTATATCTTGCTCTGATATATTTTAAAATATATTCCCAGAGTTCATTTATTTCATTAGCATACTACCTACATCATCTAGCTCCACCAGGTTACTCTTTCATAGAGTTTAGTAGCCAAGCCAAGCCAAGCCCTACTGCAATTATTTTTCAACTTTTCACACTCTTACTCCCAAATGCCTTTATTTCTAAAGATGTTGTAAAGAGAAAAGTACTGATTTTAAGGAGGAGGAGGAGATTGGATTTATACCCTGTCCTTCACTCAGATTCTCAGAGTGGCTTACAATCTCCTTTCCCTTCTCCTCCCCACAACAGACACCCTGCGAGGTAGGTGGGGCTGAGAGAGCTCTTTCAAGAACTGCTCATGAGATAATGGCTCTGAAACAACTTGTAACTGACCCAAGGTCACCCAGCTGGCTGCATGTGGAAGAGTGGGGAATCAAACCCAGTTCTCCCAGATTAGAGTCCGCGCTCCTAATCACTACACCAAACTGGCTCCATAACAGATGAAAATCTACAGTAGACCTCCCAGTTTTGTAACCAGTCCAACGGTACGAATGAAACAAACTCAGAAAGTTACTTGCTTCCTAAGCCCCCCCATCCCTGACTTCTGCATATTCTTAGAAAGAAACTGTGACAGAATAGGAAAAATTAGAAGAGATCAAAGAGAATTGCATTTCTTGTAAAGGTGGGTCCTTTTATAGTTATTAAGTAGTGTGTAGATATGGATATATTCTGCCACACATGATGAAAAATAAGGGCCCCTTCTGTCCTGACCTGGATAGCCCAGGCAAGCACAATCTTGACTTGGAAGCTAAGCAAGGCTGACCCTGGCAAGTAATTGGAAAGGTGATCTCCAAGGAATACCAGGGCCAGGACACAGAGGCAGGTAATATCAAAGCCACCTGTCTGAAATGTCCTAGCCGCACTAGGGGTCACCAGAAGTCACTATGACTTCCAGGCTCACAAGCACACAAACAAACAATATGAACCCCAAAAAGAAAAAAAATAAGGGGCCCTTATTAAAAATAATTCATAATTTTCTTGTGTTGCTTGGGGAAATGCAGCAGGAACAGTGTCATACCTACTACCATACTACCATTAACAGTTAAAGCAAGTATATTCATCACTTGCTAATTTGTTGGGAGGGACACAAGAATTCCAACCCAAACCCACAGAAACAATGTAGTAGATTCTCTTGGTTACAAAGGAAGGTGTTTGTATTTAGAATTACTCTGCATAGCTCCCGCTTAATAACCTGCACTCAAAATATTGAATGACAGATTTCCACATTGAGGGGTAAGAAAGGTTTATTGGAAGTAACAGGGACGAATGTGTATGAGTTATGTCAAAGTAACGTTAATGAATTAAAGAAATGTTTCTGTTATCCTCTTTCAGAACAACTTATTTGTGAAGCTGCAAGCATCCTAATTATGAATATAACATTGCAGGCAGAGGCATGATGCATTTTGATGAGCTCCGTTACTGATTATTCAGGAAAAACACAAGTTTTGAATGACATGCCAGTATTGGTAAACTGACAGCCAAAAGAACTATTCTGTATTTATTTGTCAACTAACTGACAAACCAATATCACAAGAAATATTACCTGGGATAAAATGCTTTTACATATGCCAATAAAGAAAGAAATACATTCCTCTCATTTCCGTGTGTCAGAATGCAAAATTGTTGAATGGAATTACATATGGGTATCACTGCCATGAATATGCTGATGGAAGAATTCTGCTGGTCTTTAGGAAATGACATATACCCTTGACTGATGGCTTTCCTGCAACACATTCCACTGAAAATGCTGCCTGCAGTCAAAGCTGAGTAGTAATCTATTATCGTCTTCACCAAGAGTTCCAAGACTGCCATTGTGGCCCATTCCAGTTCTCCAGAACAAAAGAGAGGGGGAGGGGAATGGGTTTAGTCAGGGTTTTTCCTTGGTGCATAAATCCCTCAGAACTGGCTGCATACATTCCTCTTAGAAGGCAGAGCTGTTGCTGTTGCCACGAAGGTATGGAAAAGATTCATGCCAGGAGGGGTGTGATTGTTAATTTTCCTGGATCTTGGAATGGTATTCCTCTGGACTATTTCACTGAATTGGTGTGCAGGCCATAGCTTCATTCAAATCAGTACCAGAAGATGACACTACAGCTTCTGCTCCATGCTATTCTTCTCTGCCATGCTGTTTGCTAGGACAAATTGCATGGAAGTCTGGGGTATGGTTTATTTCCCCTTCAAATGCAGATGTAACAAGTGAACAATCAAATGAAAAGTACAGTCTCTCTGTATGGATCTATATTTATCTTTACCATACCAGTGGGGTTTTTTTTGGGGTGTCCACTCTCCAGAATGCATACAAGCGCTTATGTCAGGAATCTAGTTTGTTAGCACCAATCACCACGCTATGCCACCAAAAAGCAGAATACATTGAAAAAGGTGTTATTGTAGCACTCTGAAACTATACTCAGGTAAAGCAATAACTTCACACTGCTGTTTCTAATCTGATCTAGCGAGGTCTTTTGTGTGCAGTCCTCAACCTTTCCTTCTCCACAATCATCTTGTGGCAGCTCAATCAGACATGTAATTAGAAATTAACTGAAAAGTTTTGCATACCACCGGCTATAAGTGATGTGAAACAGGAGCATATCTGATGAAGACCTGGATAACATTACTCTCGTTAATAACACTGAATCCAACAGAGGAAATACTACTAAAAAAAATTAGCCTTCTTGAGCTTAAGAAAATCCCAATGAAAATGTTACAGTACAATGAAGTAGTGTGCAATGACGTGCTTTATTCACAGGAATTCAGTGACATTTAAAAGCAAGCAGGCAACACTGACACATCTAGGTGCTGCTGGAAGCCAATTTATAGCAACAGGCATGAACAATCTGTCGCTTGCTGTATGAGGGTAACAAGCTCATTGCTTCTCTGTTCTGCAGAGCATCTTTTTGTTAGTTTTAGAGGTGATATCCATTTACACACATACATGCACACACCTTATCATGTCAATTCCAGTCATGTATCTGTTTTGCAAATGTAGCTATGCAGAGTTTTCAAATCATCTGGAAAGGGGTGGCGGCGGCTTTTGACATGCTACAATTTTTCATGGCCCAGTAAACTTCTACAGTCGGTATTCTCATCTCACCTCAAAGGTTCAACCGTCTTTATTGGCAGCTTTTTTAAAAAAAGAGAGGCACCAATCCTCATATACAAGGTTGAGCTGATTTCCACCAATTCCCCTTTATAACTTGGCACCCCAAAACAGTTGCCAGTGCTCAGTAGTGGTAAGTAGTCATTCTTGCCACACTTTTCTTTTCACAAGGCCTTTGTAAGTGACTAGCAACAAAGACCCTAGGCTAATCTTGGATCAGTTCCAGAGCAAAGCTGAAGAAAATAGCAGTTGCTAGGCAACTGCTGAGATGCTCTACTGGGTTCCTTGTCAGTCACTAATTCTGGCAGTTCTCTGTGGCTTGGCATAAAGTGACCTTCCTTTGTCATCTCATTTAATAGTGTAGGCTCATCCATCATTAATGTGCTTGCCTAATTCTTTTATTAATCCAACATACTTTATTAGTAATAATCCTATTCCTCTTTTTTACATTTCAAGGGTTCCACAGCTGTTATTAAAATCATTATTTTTCTTCTTTTTATACCTTCTGCCTGTGGATTTTTTCATTATGTTGAAATGTAAATAAGACTTACATAGTACTTTTCCATAGCACAAGTTTATACATTGCTGTCAGAGCCCTCTTCTGTGTTGCTTCTATTAGCAGTTAGCTTTCATTGTTTATTGAGGTTTGCAGGGACAGGCGCTTGGTAATGGAAGGTTTGATCTGAGATGGGTGCTTTGAAAACACAGGAACTTGCATTTCTGTTTTGGAGACTGCAGATGCTATCTAGATAGAATGATACCTAGTGTGGCAGAAGAATCATCAGTTATGGTGTACATTGGAACCCATGACTCTGGAAAGTTTAGTCATACAATCCAGGAGGAAAATTTAGGTGAAGGTTAAAGCCAAGTATTTCCACAAAAGCATTCTCAGAACTGCTACTTGCTCTACATTCAGGCCAGCTAGACAGGCAGAGGTTATGTTTCAATGTATTGATAAGAAAGCACCACCAGGAAGAAGAGTTTAAGTTTGTTAAGCTCTGAGGAACTTTCTGGGTCAAATCAAATCTTTACAGTACAAAAAGGTTTGCTTGAACCAAGCTGTTGGTGGCTTAACATTTTAAGTTCAGGCTCAAATTTTTATTTTGATACAAAAGCAGCTCAAGAGAGTCAGCAGTAACAGTAAAAAAGTTATTGAGACTCAGTCAGCCACTTTTGTATCCCACACAACCAAAGGCAAAATTTGGCAACTTTATTAGTGATTTCCTGGGGATAGTCTGCAAGAAGGAGAGAGACATAAAGTTGTTTAGATTTTCCTGGTAAAATTGACAGATTTGGAGTGATGTACTGAAATTGAATGTCATTACAGACTGAGCAGTGCACCAGAACACGTTCAATAGACCCTACTTTCCCTGAATGGCATGGACAGAGCCCTTGAGGGAGTGGGACACGATGGTATCTACCTTCCAGGAGGGATGAAGGTAAAACATTAACGCATGCCAGGGTAACGATTCTCCAATATTTGGAGATCTCAAGGCATCTAAAATAATCTGCAGGATTAAAGCATTTGCCATACTGCAAAGTAATTGGATATCTGTCCCCTTTCTGATTGTACGGCATAATCCCAGAACCGCTGTTTAATTATTTCTTTTGTGTTTTTTTATACCCAAGATGCAGTAAGACTTGGGGCGAGAGGCTGTGCTCCTGGAGTTTCCTTTCAATTGCTCTTTGCCAGGTTGAATGGTGGCTTTAAGAGTACTACACCCACAAGATTGAAGATGAGTTTTAACCAATAGGTAGATGCCAGTAGCCACATATGAGTCTCCAAGGCGATCAGACCAGCCTCTAGTCTGAGAAGGACATTCAGATCATTTGTATGAACATGGATTGTACCACTTCCAGTAAGTGCCTTTCTTTGTAAATACAGAGCTGGAACCATATAAGACCTGGGTGACAACCTTTCCTTGGAAGACCTTGATTGCTACAGGGATAAAGGAGGCTCCTTTTGTGAAGCAGAATCTTAGAATGGTGAAGGATGCTCTGTGGGCAGTCTGTGTGGCATGCAGTGCTTGAGCTCTCCAATGTCCACACGACCGGAAGACTATGCCGTTTAAAATTTTTTGTTTGTTTGATGTTGTGGCCCTGTATTTGCCATCTATGGATTCAATGCTTTTTGATAAAGATGAGGACTTTTGTTTTTTGGTAATTTATCGCAAGCTGCTCGTCTTTACAGTATGCAGTGAAGTGCTCTCCTAAGGCCCAATTGTGAATAAGGTAGAATGACAGTATTTTCTGCAAACAGTAAGGCAGGAATTGTTTTATCAGCAATCTTTGGAGAATGAAAGCATGGATTTCTTAGGTGTTGCACCAAGGAGTTAATATGGTAGTTAGAAAGCAGAGGGGCCAGGATGCAGTCCTGCTTAACGTTAAAAAGGCTACAGAGCGTCTTTTAAACATATTAGGGGAAACTGACGGGATAAAGCCTCTGGTTGGGATATATTCAAGATAATATTTGTAGGAGATCCTAGATCCTTTCCAGTCCGGCTTCCACCCAGGTCATGGGACGGAGACGGTACTGGTCGCCCTGACTGATGACCTCCAAAGGCATCTGGATCAAGGTGGTGTGGCAGCACTGTTGCTGTTAGATCTGTCGGCCGCGTTTGACACGGTCGACCACCAGTTGCTGGCCCACCGCCTCGCTGACATGGGGATTCAGGGGCTTGCCCTTCAATGGTTTGCCTCTTTTCTCCAAGGTCGGGGACAAAGTGTGGCGATAGGGGATCAGTGGTCCCGGAGGCATCCTCTTGATTGTGGCGTGCCTCAGGGGCTAGTGCTGTCCCCGATGTTGTTTAACATCTACATGCGCCCCCGTGCCCAGATTGCCCGAAGTTGTGGGCTTTGTTGTCACCAATATGCAGATGACACCCAGCTCTATCTGATGTTGGGCAGCCAGTCGAACTCCAGCCCAGATGACCATCATCGGGCATTGCAAGCTGTGGCTGGTTGGCTCAGGCTGAGTCGGCTGAAACTAAACCTGGCAAAAACAGAGGTCCTGGGCCTGAGTCGGTTCGGGGTTGGGGCTCCCTCTCCCGACCTTCGATGGGGCTCCTTTGGTGCCAGCGTTGGAGGTTAGGAGTTTGGGTGTGCTCCTGGACTCCTCTTTAACGATGGAAGCCCAGGTGGCAGCCACTGCCAAGTTGGCCTTTTACCATCTTCAGCTGGCTCGGCAGTTGGTTTCCTTCACTGTCTGCAATGACCTGGCCACAGTGATCCATGCGACGGTCACCTCGAGGCTAGACTACTGTAACACTCTCTACATGGGCTGCCTTTGTCACAAATCTGGACGCTGCAGCTAGTGCAGAATGCTGCAGCCAGGCTGTTGATGGGTCTCTCTAGGCGGGACCATATCAGGCCTGTGCTGAAAGCGCTGCACTGGCTGCCAATAACATTCCAGGTTCGCTTCAAAGTGCTGGTTCTTACCTTTAAAGCCCTATATGGCCAGGGTCTGGCATACCTGAGGGACCGCCTTTCCCCATATGTCCCCCCAAGGGCACTATGGTCGGGGACTCAACATCTCCTGGTAATTCCAGGCCCCAAAGATACCAAACTTTCTGCGGCCAGAGTCTTTTTGGTGGCAGCTCCTACCTGGTGGAATGAGCTCCCAGAGGAGATCCGGGCCCTGCAGGACCTTGTGCAGTTTCGCAGGGCCTGTAAGATGGAGCTCTTCCATCAGGCTTTTGAGTAGGAGCCGCCACCA